CTGCCCGTTAAACAGGCAGTCAGAAATCCCTTTCACAATCTAGGACTGCTGGCTCCTAAGCGCTCGCCTGCCTGATTGCCCTAACAGCTTCTGCTTGCCAGCCTGATCACCCCCTAACCACTCTCCTGCTAGCCTGATTGACGCCTAACTGCCCCCCTGCCGGCCCAATTGCCCCTAACTGCCCTCCCCTGCTGGCCTGGGTCCCCCTTAACTGCCCTCCCCTGTAAGTCTGGTCACCCCCAACTGCCCTCCCCTGCAGGATTGGTGTTTCTGATTTTTTTGGATATAGTCCTAGAAGTGGGTCACTGGGTCAAATGGGAGTTCCATTTTAAATTATTTGTGGAAACTCCATACTGTTATCCACAGTGGCTGCATCAGTCTGCATTCCCACCTTTTCTCCACATCTTGCCAACATCTGTCGTTTGTTGATTTGTTGATGATAACCATTTTGACAGGTGTGAGGTGATAGCACATTGTCATTTTAATTTGCATCTGTGATTAGTAACTTTGAGTGTTTTTTCATATGTCTCTTTGCCTTCTGTCTGTCCACTTTAGAGAAGTATATATTTAGGTCCTTTGCCCATTTTTAAATTGGATTGTTTTCCTCTTATTAAGTTATATGAATACCCTATATATTTTGGAGATTAACCCTTTATCAGATTGTTTATTACTAGTGTATAGAAATATAATTGATTTTTATGTATTGATCTTCTATCCTGAAATCATGGTGAAATTGTTTATTAATTATAAAATTTTAATGGTTTCCTTAAGATTGTATATATACAAGTTCATGTCACTTGAACAATGTATTTTTAAAAATTATTTACATACTAGAGGCCCAGTGCACAAAATTCGTGCACTGGGGCGGGAGGGGGGAAGGGGAGGTAGTCCCTTAGCTCAGCCTGCACCCTCTTGCAGTCCAGGAGCCCTCAGGGGATGTCCAACATCCTTAGCACTGCCACGGAGGAGGGAGAAGCCCTTGCCACCGCTGTTGCACTCACCAGCCATGAGCCCAGTTTCTGGCTGAGCAGAGTTCCTCCTGTGGTATCAGGCTGAAACTGGCTCTCCAACATCCCCCGAGGGGTCCCAGATTGCAAGAGGGTGCAGGCCAGGGGATCCCCCCAGAGCACGATCAGGGCCAGGGAGAGACGTGGGAGGTTGACCAGCCAGGGAGGGAATTCAGGAGTGCTCCAGGGCGTATCTGGCCCGTCTCACTCAGCCGGCCTGTCTGGCTCATCTGGCCCATCTAGCTCATCTGGCTGGACCCCAGCAGCAAGCTAACCTACCTGTCAGAGCGTCTGCCCCTAGTGGTCAGTGCACATCATAGCAAATGGTTGAGCGGTCTTAGCATATCACTAGCATATTACGCTTTGATTGGTTGAATGGCCAGCTGGTCAACCAGACACTTAGCATATTAGGCTTTTATTATATAGGATATCAAAATAAAATTAATATACATATTTTATGAGCTCACTTTTTGGAAGCACAACATCCAAATAATTATTTTTCCAAATTAACTACAAGTTAGCATTATCCATTCCTTTGTCCTCCCAGCTCTCTCTTATTACCATAGATTCCCAGCACTCACTTCTGAGACCACTGGAGGCTTATCCCAGACTGGATGGAGAAACTCTGCACCATTTCCTGCTGCTCCTGGGAGAGGGTAGATAGGGAGCTGAAGGTGGGTGTAGGTACTGGAATGGAGAATGCACTCTGGGTTTCTTCTGTCCTGGCATTCCCCACAGTCAGTATATCATTCATGATGCACATACTGGAAGAAAGATCAGCCCTTAGACTCCCAAAAATCATCCTGCCCCCACTGCCACTCAGAAACAAGTTTCCTTCCATACCTCAAGCGTGCCTGCCCCCCAGATGCCTTGCCTGGTACCTCTGCCTCTCCCACTGAGCTCACCTTTGAAGAGATTGATTTATGATTCTGAGGACCAGTTTCACTCAATTTTTAGATTTAGTACTAACGCATTTACCCCTTACAGCAGTCCAAGGAATAGATCCTCTAATTCCCATTTTCAGAAGGGGATAATGAGTCACTAAGGTCTTATATCTTCACCAAAGTCACTTTAGCTAGCTAGCGAGTACTGAGGTCAGGAAAAGAATATAGTATTCTGATTCCAAAGCCCATAGTCTTAACCACTAACCTATACCTCTCTTTGGGTCTACCTGTTGGCTTTCCACAATACTGAGAAAAGCTCCAAGCTGCACCACTACATTCCTACACCACTGGAATTAGGCTGGGATGGGTGTTCATTGCCATGTTGTACCCACAACACAGCACTTACCTGGAATTGCTGCCAGAAGACAAGATGAAGGTCCGGGTGAAGGCATGGGCAGAACCTTGAGACTTTCCTTCCACTTCAATAACAACAAAAAAGTAACTCCTCTTAGAGCTGTACATACTTTTCACACAAGCAGCGTTCCCCCATCAGGGTCTTAACCTGATACTCTTGCAGCACCCTGATGGGAACCAGACCAGGACAGTGTTTCACTGTGACTCAGGAGGGAGTTTCAAGGACCAAGAAGACAACAATAGAGATAATCAACTCCCAGCAATAGGACCCCTAATGTGTCACATCCTCTGACAAGCACATGTTCACTTGATTCACTTTTTATAGCATTCCTAGAAAAGGGTATTACCAGCCCATTTTGCATATGAGAAAACTGAATGGTTTGATATTGGGTCCTATGTCACAGAGTAAAGAACTGAGATGAAAGCTATAAAACTCTACAGGTCGAGTCTCTAATATCTAAGCTGTGTTGAGATAAAAAGGCATGGATGCATGTCAGAACACAATAGGTTCGGGGCAAGGTAGGTGTGGGAGAAAGGGAAGGGGAGGGGAGGGGGAAGGAAAGGAAAGGAAAAGAAAAGAAAGGGGAGGAGAGGGGAGGGAAAGGAAGGGAGCAACCTGGGAAGCAGGGGAAAGTTTGGGCGTAAGTCCAGTTAGGGAAAGGGAGCAGTGGGGGATCTGGGGGAGGGAACTCACCTTCCTTGAAAACCCCACTGACAGAAAAACAGAGCATAATTTCCTGAAAGGAGAGAACAGTTATTAGGGCTCTCAGTATCCTTCTAAACCTCCTACCCACCTCTGACTTTCTTGGTCTGCAGGAGAGAGAAAACAGGTACTCACCGTGTGGGCCCACAGGTCTACCACATAGGAGTTAAGGTCATGCTGAGTTTTGGGGAACACACAGAGGGAGTTCACAATCTCACACTTTGTATGCTTCAGTAGCTGAAACCGCAGGTCTGTGGGGAGGAGGGGAGGAAAAGGGAAGGTTGGGCCCTTGGCTACTATGATCGACTCCTTTACACCCCTTTCCCATGCTGATTTCCTATCATGCAATTACCAGAATCCTTGAGGTTCTTCATATTCCTGTTATCCTTTAAGTACTCGCACAAGTTGCTTCTAGGGGAAAAAAGAGAAACAGGAAGTGGTGGCCTAGACAGGGTAGGTGTTTCCAAGAGATGGTCTCTGTCTGCTGGAGAGCAAAACGGCCCAGGATCAGAGTCTGAGCTGTGATACTCACAGGGCTGGGTCTTTGGAGTTGAAGGGAACAGTCAGGGAGAAGCAGGCCTCCTCGTGGTAAGCGCTGAGGAGACTTTCTCGGTCTTCAGAATCATAAATCAAATAATATCTGTGGGGGAAAGATGGGAACAAGCTATCTCTCTGATTTGGGCCCACCAAAGGGCCTTGAAAGCTTCTCTTAACTCATGGGCAGACCTGTGCTGTGTAGCCTTTCCTGTCCCTGTCCTCCTTTGCTTCATGATCCAAGGGGTACTTACTGAAGCAGGAATTGAAAGACTAGATTCTTCAGGGTCTCAGGTCCTTTAAAGCTTTCCTGGAATCAAAAGACAACTTCAAACTATGTAGGTAGACAAAGCATCCCTTGTAAAATCCCAATCGTGCTTGATCTATTCTCACCTTACAGGGTTTTATTATGTCCATGTCTACAATGCCAGTTACAGTTGGTGGAGGTAAATCCTGGCCATCCTGAAGAAGGGAGGAGTAAGTTAGCAGTATAGGGAGGTGGTCCTGGGTGATTAAGGGAAAGGATGGACCCAGGAAACGGTGAAGGTCAGAGGTCAAGGGTGAAAAGGACCTGGAAATTCCATGGGCAAGATTCCAGTGCACATCGGCATCATGAGGTCCTGGAAGTCTCTACTGTTTTATGCAACGTGTGTGTGTGTGTGTGTGTGTGTATTTCTCCCTCTTTCTCTTTTCCTCCCTCCTGTCCTTGTTCCCTCTCTCCCTGGCTCTCTTTCTTTCTCTCTGTATGTGTATACAGTTTTGCAGAGATATTCATGTATTTTTTCAGAAGTCCATGTTCCCCCAAATGGATAAAAGTTTGATGCAAACATGTAATCCAGGCAAGACATAAAGGGCTTGAGGGCAGGTGTGGAGGTTGTCAATGTAAGTAAGAGATGATGAATGTAGGCAGAAAGTAAAATT